GAAACGCAGCTTGCATCTCCGGCAGGAAGTGCAACTCCTGTACTACCGAAAGATGTCTCTCCAGGCTGGCATCAGCCCAGCCAATGAGAAACACCCCAGCTCAGCCAATGAGAAGCTGTGGCCACACTGAACTGTTACTTTCCTCCAAAGAACTTTGGTTTAGAACAGCTCCTCCTTACTCTCCCTTTTGCTCTATAAAAGCAAGCCCCTTCCTTTGTCTCTTGGAATTTGTCTATGGTTCACCATAGTACGCACATCCTGAATTACACCTCTTTTAGCTATTTCCTCATAAAGTCATTTTTAGCATAAAATAACTGGCAAATCTTTTTAAGTTGACACTCTTTACCTAGGGTTTGTTTTGTTTTGTTTTGTTTTGTTTTGTTACTTAAGCATAACTGAACACAATTAAATAGCCTACTCTGGACTACTCTGATTTCTTGAACAGCTCAACTAACTGAGCACTCCTTCCAGCAGATCTGGCAAATATGCAAAAGTGAAAATACGGAACAATCTAACTGGCAGAGCTCAAGAGGCCCCTTCTGGCTTAACGTTTCTTTGTAAAATTGTAAGAGTATCAACTAATTAAAACACTGGGAAAATGAGAAAAGATCATGGTTATCTTCCCCCACTATCTGAGAGTAACTCAAAAGAAAATAGTATCAAACTGCAAAATAAGTTTCAGAAAGTCCAAGCACATTCTAGTTTTTTCACAATCTTTTCAGTGCCTAAGACCTTCAGAGGTCACAGGTCACAGTGTGGCCCTACTTTCTCAATCATGCAGTCATTAAACAAATATTTCCTCCTCACCAACAATGCAGAGCAGGGTTCCAGTTAATAAGACACACTCAAAATGAACTCATTTCTTTCTTAGAATAACTCAGCCAGTTGAACCAGCAAAGGAGGTTTGACAAGCTCTTTCAGAATATATGTCTGGAAAAGGCAGAAAGATATGGGCTAGTTATAAAAAATTAAGCACATTAGTACTTAACTGTAACCAAGAGAGTGTGACTCCTTGAAAAGCTGGAAGGAAGCTTCTAGAGACAGGATTCGTGGTTCAGCCACATTAACAATTTCATCAGAGACTTAGGTAAAGATATAAAAGACAGTCTGACCCGGCGTGCAGGCAAGATTTCTTTGGGAAGTTAGGAAATGGTGCTAAATAACTGAATCAAATTCCAAAAAGTCCCAAGGGAAGAACCAGCCAAAAGAAAGCAAGACGAAGCCCGATCGATGTTAGGTCTTGAAATGACACTTGTATGGGGGGGGAAGATGTGGCTTAACAGCAGCCTGTGATTAGCGACTTAGGGGTTTTAAGGAAGCTCACTGGGTCTGAGTAGCGGGGCCACCAGAAAGGTGAATGCAACCCTGGACTACAGCAGCGCAAGCGGGCCATGCCAGCCAAAGGCAGGGCCCCCGACTCTCAACACAGGCCAACCCACAGGAGAAGACTTCGGTTCTGCGCCCACCCCTGACAGGTACTGTTGAGTGAGTAACTGAAATACCTCTATAGAAGGATCTGGTCTGCAGGCTACAAAGAGAGTAGAACTCAAATAAATAGGTAGAATTAGATTTCAATTCTATAGGTAAAAAACAGCTTCTAGCAGTCAAAATCATCAAAAAAGGTGGAGCTTTCCACCTCTTCCTGGCAATGTTCCAGTATTGCTGGAAGACCATGCGCAATATATAAAGGGATCCAAGCATCAGAGAAGGGTTAATTGGGCTGCTCAGTGATTTCCAAACCTTGGTCCTTAGTGAAGTTGTCACTGGTCTGTGCAAAAGAAAGAAGTATCTGTGTATTGGTGGGTATATACGCATGCATGGAATAATTTTAACAAATGACTTCTCTGGATGGGAAGAACTTTGGTCTGTCTCACAGCGGGCATTTTATTCCCTTTTTTCAGCATATATCTTGATACCATTTTTCATCAGTGTATCTTCATGAAATGCATTGATCATAGATGGTAATTTCTTCTGTTAATTTTCACTATATTTATGTAGCAACATCAACTACTGACAAATCTGACAATTCCTACAATTTGCTTTAGCTTTTGTTTTTTAGTTTTACAGTTGGATGAAAACAAAAAGTTTAAAAGCTACATGAAGGGACAACCGTAAGGCCCTTTGTGGTACAGAGATGCTATGACTAGACTCAACTCACTGCATCTTTTCTTCTTTCCTATCTCCCAACTTGGCTATACAATGTTGTACAGGATGGAAAAAGGTATCAAGGAATTGGGTTATACTAAATATGAACTCTACTAAAACAGAACTTCTACTATGGCTCGGCTCTGGCTCTGTTCGACCACTCTTTGGAACCAAAGTTTACGAATCAAATTCAGAAAGGATCAAAATAATTTATCTTTGAAGTTATGAGGCCTTGAAATTCCTATCACACTGTTATCCTTCCTTTAAAAGAGGTCACAGCTAAATGTGATTGGAACAGAAAAGCAATTTCTGAGTCATTGATTTCCAGGTAAACCAAGAAAGCTATAACTCTCAGGAACATTCACATACACACTTACAATAAGCCGAAAAAAGAAAAGATACAATCGCGAAAAAATACAAATGATCCCAGCCAGTCAGTCACTTTTATCACTCTAATACATTTATTTTAAATGTTAAAGAAACCTAAAATTCTGGTGCTGAAAGAGATCATGGAAATACTTTATCCGAGTCCTTGCGACAGGCAGAAGTGGGAAACTAGAGGTTCCACACCTGGGGCCCAATGCTCCTTCTGGTCTATCACCCCACAGGGGAATTAGGTGCATTAATAAAAGTAGACAATCTGGAACATGGTCCCCCCTATTCTTTAGGACTGTACTTCATATTTCACTCAAGTTCAAAACAGGAAAAAAAAAAAACCAAAAACTTTGCTTTGCTTTTCAGCGAACAGTAACAGTCTAAATTTTCTTCAAATCTAGTACATCTTTGAAAGGATTTGTAATCCTAAACCACAAGGAGATCCTAAGTTCAAAGGCTCCTTGTCTTCCTCAAGCTCCAAAAAAACTTGCCTTTACCAATTATGGGTGGGGAGTCAGGGGGCGAGATCCACAGACACACACAGTTCTTTGCAAAGTATGCAGTAAACACAACCCCTTTTAAACTAGTTTTGATGACCAAACACATTTCAACCAGTTTCAATTACCAGACAAGGGCCCTTTCAAGGTAGCTCACTAGTATTTTTCACTTTCAAGAATTGATAGTCTTACAGAATGAATAACCCACTACTCCTTTTGTGTCGGGTAAAAAGATCCCCGAGGCAGACAGGTGTTTACTAAGCTCAGGTAGCAAGGAACCCTTGAAAATACCATTCCAGTCTCGAGAAAGAAAAAATAAAACTTACAAACCCATATTACACAGCTTTAACTACAATAAGCATCATAAAAGTGAAATCATGATGCTCTGATCATTCCCCTCGTAACTTCCATAAAATTAAAGCTCTTTGAGAAAGGTTAAGATTTAAAAACATAAAAAGCATTTGATAACAAATAGACACTTAAACCAGCCAGGGAAAATCTATAGCCCATACTCCAGAGCCACAAGCTCCACCTCCATACCTGCAAATTCGTCCCTGGCTTTATTTTCCGGACCAAATGCTCACAGTGTTTCTTATCCAAGTTCATTTCACCCCATCTATAGGTAGCATGCGGGTACTGATAAAAGCTGTTTCTGATTTCACTTCATTTCCTTCTTCCCAGATGTTTGCTAGAGAGTTTTTTTCCCTTCAGCTATTTATGAATACACTCTAATTTAGAACAAACAAATTCAACATGTCATATTTTAAGCTCGGCAAGACACACAATAAATGACAGCTATAAAGATAATTTCAAGATATTTCTCCTGCTTATAAATAAGTCTGCCTACCTAGGCAAGATTTGGACAGGCGGCCATGGTCTTGCTTTAGAAAAAAACTACTTAAAACACATAACAGAACTTGCGGCTGCTGCAATGGCCAACTACAGCCTATTGGACTTCTCATAAAAGGAGTTGTACTTAGAAAGGAAAGACCAAATATCCACTGGGGGGAAAGAAAGAAAGATGCCCCTAACACAATCCTCAGTATGAATCACGCATATATACCTCAACTATATCTCTTCCCCAAATGCATCAATGGAATCTTCAGGAAGAATCAATGCTATCTATATTCAAAACTCAAGAAAGATTGCACTTTCCCATGACTAACATTCTTTTACATCTCTCTGAATCAAGCAGTGAACTAAGTCATCAGTAAACATCACAGGCGGAAATGTTGTCTAAGCAGAATTACACATCTCACCACAGAACAGTGAATTCCTCAAATAAGTCAAAACATGAAACAGACATCCTTAAATTTGTGACTAAAAACTGTAACCAAGCTGTTTCTTGAAATTCATCTTCAGAAATGCCAGAAATAGCAGGCCACCTTTGGATATCTGCATACATATTGGTTTTATAGGGAAGTAACGTATTTCAAAGAAGGCAACAGTTTTGGAGATTTCTTTCTCTCCCATTACTAATGGGACAACTGGAAAAATTACAACCTGGATTGCAGACAGGCACCTCAAAAGCGCAGTTCACTAAATGCCTGTCATAAGAAAGCCATCTAGTGTTAACATTTAGAAATGAAAACTGCAGACAAAAGAGGCAAAGAAAAGAAAAACCTGAGTGACTATTTTGAACTAACTGAGCAAACCTATGAGAATCATCAAGATTCTTTGTTGAAAAAAAAGAAAGGCCATCCTCATGAAAAGCAAGTCTAAACCTAAGCAAAATCAAAAAGGTCTACAATTTTACGTTGACCAAAATCACGTTGTGGTGACCAGGCTTCCGTGACCAGTGCACTTGATTTTTCCAGTACTCACGCTGGAGTCATCTTGGGCTGAATTAATTTAACTGAAGCAGGTTAATGATGACAAATATCTCCCAGAGGGGTAAAGCCAACTTGTTTTCTCTTCCCGAGAAGCATCGGCTCTCGCTCGTAGAGGATGAACTGAAATTGATTCTTTTGGTTTGCGGCACGGATGAAAATTAACCTGGAGGTGCTCGTGGGGCTGTTTCCAGGATATGGTCAAACTAGCATTAATAACATGGGAGGGACCCCGAACAGGACCTGGAGCAGAGGAGGGAGCGCCACACAGAGCCTGGGGAAGCGGGAGAGCCGTCGGGACTCCGAAGAAAGGTCCAGCCGAGTTGGCAGGGCGCTCGCAGGCTGCTCGGGATCCCACAAAGAGGGAGCCGGCGCCGGCGGGGGCGCGCTCGTGGCGCACACCTTCCAGGGGAACCAACCCCGCAGCAAGTTCAGCAAGTATCCCCGCCTGGCGCACGGGGGCACCGCGTCAGGGACCCTTTCATCTTTTCTCTTGGGTTAGTCACCGAGGAGTTGCAGAGCACCCAGGGGAGGTCCTCATTAGTGCTCGTGTCACCAGGAAGGGAATAACCTTTCAGCCGATCGATAACTTTGAGAGGACGAGCGGCGGCTGCTCCTCTTCCACTGGGGGCTCGGGAGCACCGGCGCAGCTGCGAGCCAGACCCCCGCCCCGCCGCCCCAGGCGCCGCGCTCCGGAGCGCCCGCCGACAGCCCCCCGAGGCGCCCCGAAGGGCAGCGCCTTGACCTCGGGACTGTCCCGTCGGAGGCCGTCCCCAGACACCACCCGAAGGCTCCAGGGCGGACTCCGCCTCGCTACCCGTCCGCTCGCCCCGACACGCACCTCTGAAACGCAGTCCGCCGGGACCGGCTACAGCTCGCGAGCGCGTGCTGGCGCGTCCCGGGGCCGCCGCCTCGCCGCCCGCCGCTGCCCGGGGCTGCCCATCGGCCCGGACTCTGCCCGCGCCGGGCTCCGGCGGAGGCGGCCCGGACCCGCCGGCTGCGGCTGGAGCTGTCGGCCTGCGCTCAGGCGGGCGGCCGGGCGGCCGGGGCGGGGGCGCAGCGCTGCTCCTCCTCCTCCGTCCTCCTCCTCCCGCTCCGCCGGCTCCTCCCGGGCTCCGGGTCTGCCGCGCCGGCTAGCGACACAGTCGCCCGCCCGCCCGGCGGCGCCGCCCCCCGCCCGTCCGCGGCCTCCCATTGGCCGCCGCCTGCAGGCCCCCTCGGCCCCGCCCCGCGATTGGGCGCGGGCGCCGTCCGTCCCGCCGCCCCGCGGGGCTCCCGGCGCAGCCGGTGCGCGGTTCCCAGGCCCCGCGGCGCGCGGGAGCGGCGAGTCCTAGAGGGCTGCGGGGCGGGGCGCGCGGCGCCAGGTGACCTCGCGGGAGGTGCAGCCCACCTGCTTCCGCAGTCCGGGAAAGCCGTCGCTGTCCTCCCCGGGACCCGTTTTCGGCCGTCTGGCAGGAATAAGTTAAAACCCCTAATCTGGCTCAGAGCAACCCCCTGCGCAGTCGCGACCCCGCCCGGCCCTCCACGCTCCGGAGTTGGGAGAGACGCGCCTCCCCGGCGCTCCGGTCCCAGCTCCGCGAGAGCCTGAGTGTCGCCGGCCGGCGACACAGACAGCCGCGGGCGCTGTGCGGGCACCTGCTCCAGTACGCCGCAGGATGGCCGCGGCCGGCGATCGCCCCGACTACCGCCTCGCTGTTCCCGGGAAGACTGCAGGAGGGGCGAGCCCCTACTGTGTGCCGGCCCGGGAGGACCTATGGACCATCGAGGGGGTTCCTCTAGTTTGTGAGGACCCCTGGAGAGCATCCTTGGACTGCCGAGGCGGTGCCCTTGCACCTAGGGGCTGGGATGGGAGGTTGCATAGAGAAAGGCATTAAGATGAGGTCAGATGGGTGCCCGCGCGCAAGAGTGCTGCGGAGAAGAGACCCTGAGAGCCAGGAGGGAGGTTGAGGCGTGCAGTTCAGGCGCCCCGGCCCAGCCTGGGGCCCGTCCACCCCACCCTCCAGGCAGCCCTCATCCCCAGGGAGAGATGCCCTTGGATCTTTATGTCGACGAAGAGGAAATGAAATTTTTATACTCATCTTTTCTCCTTTCCTAGAAGATGATCATCCAGTAGAAAGCATTGCCTGAAACTATTCATGTAAATTGCTTGACACTGGAATTGGTTGCTGAAAGACGGAAGGATCTCAGAAAACTCTTTTAGGCTAGACTGGAGTTGACTCTGCTTAAACGGTACAGTGGGAGTCCCAGCCTGCAAGCAGGAATAGACTGGTTTACAGGCTGTCACTTACCTTCCAGCCCCACCATAGGATTTTCCCAGCGGCTTCAGGTGGGAGAGCTGCGCTGCCTGTGTTTCCTGACACAGGATTCAGAGCTCTCAGTTCCTCCCTTTCTAGAGGTGGAATTCATCCTGGGAAGATAATGTTGTCTGTACTTCCCTATCACAAACACTCCCTAGAACATAATCCTGTGAAAAGTTACAGGCCGTCCCTCCCATGCTATATTTCTCTCTGATCTAAAGCATGTGCGCGTTGTGCAATCTTTTATATCTCTTTGTAAAATATGGGTATGGGTGTAATAAAACATGTCAGAGAGCAGTACTATGACATGACCAAGTTCCTGAGTTCTCCAGGTTTTGATAGGCTTCCCCACTGTCACCCCATTATCAGCATTTACAAGATTTGTCATTTATTCATTCAACCAACAATTATGGAGACCCTGTGGTGTTCCAGAAGGTACTAGGTGCAGAGGATGTAAAAATGCCTAGGACATAGGCCCTGCTCTTCAGAAGGTCACCTTCTCACACATGTAGATCCTCATATATCGTAGATGCTCTACCAGAGTTATGAACAAAATCCCACAGGAGTAGCCATGAGGGACGTTGCCTGGGGGTGCCTAGGGAGGACGTACTTCCCTCCACAGCACATTATCCGGGTACTTCTCACACATCATGTAATGACACGTTTCACTGTCTTTCCCACTGTTCTGTAAGAGCCATGAGGCAAAAACCTCGTCTCCCCCAGCGTTTTGACTCCTAAGACAATGACTGCCTGAGTCAATGAGTTGACACTGAGGTGCAGTTGTCCACTGTCTGATAGACAAGGAGGACCCTTTGATGTGTTCCTTAATGTCCAATACATAGCGATCTTGTAAGGAAGTCTGGGCAGACACTCCCAGTGACGAAATTAGCCACAGTTCTCTTCCCCTCCCACCTTACCATCCCTCTTGTTGTGTTTCGCAAACTAAAATTGAACTATCCTAAACCCTTTGGGCCACTACCAAAGTTTGCAGCGTTCTTTGAATGCTTGTAATTGATGGTGCAGAGTAAACAGTTGTGTGCACTTATGAAAGTCCGTGATTCTCCGACTTTCGCTGAAACCCAGGTTACAAGCAACCGTCCCTCATCAGAATGTTCCAGGCCTCAGCAAATATGTCCTGACCCCCTCTGCCGAGCCTGACCAATGCTGGACAGTGGCGATATGGCCCAGGACAAGACCCACAAGTTGTCCACCTCAGCGCAGACAGACAAAGCTCAGGAATGATTTTGGGTCTTCCTCACCAAATGAAATCTTCTAGAAATGCTCATAGATGTAATGCTCGTGTCTTCCTCACTAGTCTTCTTCCCAGCAGCCCTCTGATTTCTTGCCTTTTTAGGGAAGGGTAAACTGAGGGTGGAGACTGGAATTGCGGCACCTGTTAAGGTGTTGGTTATTTTGGCCTTAGGGTGTCTTACTGAAAAAAATTCTCTTCCTCTTCAACCAATAAATTTCACTGAAGTTTTAAAGAAAAATATTACCTATGACATGTGAAATTGTTTCTGCCTAAAAGCTAGAGTGAGCTATCCTGTGTTAACCTGCTCATTTTCGCCTTCCCTTGGGTCAAGACTCTCCCCTCGTTCTCTAAGCCTGACTTTCTATCTCTTGAAAGTCTTTTTTCTCCTCTGAATTTCGTGAGGCTCTAGGGTTTCCCAAAGAAACAAACTCAAGTGATTAATTCTCTTCACAGCTCTGAATCAGCACATCAACCCCTTCTGAAATCATTCCAACCTCAGTCTTGCCTATTTTTCTCTAAAAGGTGTAAAAAAAGGCACAGAGTTCAAAGACATACTTAAGCTGTCTAGCCCTTTCCAAGATTTTGAGTTTGTGGGCTGCCCTTGGCTGGTACTTTTATCTATTCACCTTTGAATTTAGCTAAACAAGGGTTTTATTTCCTTGACACACTACAGCAAGATTCTACTTACAGACAATACACATGCACTGAAATAAACCCGAGTGGCTAAGTTAAGTGAGGGTTTAGATTCCCACCCTCATTTCCTCCTTCCCTTTTCTAATATCAACACTCCTGGCATTGGCCCTGAGCTAACATCTGTACCAATCATCCTCTATTTTGTATGTGGGACGCCACCACAGCATGGCTCGATGTGCGCTGTGTAGGTCTGCACCTCTGATCTGAACGTGTGAACCCTGGGCCACTGTAGTGCAATGTGCAAACTTAACCACTATGCCACCAGGCCAGCCCCAACCAACCCTCTTTTTTAAAGTCTTAAGACAAGGGAATATTCATAATTTGCAAGAAATATGTATTGATTGCCTACCACATTCAGAGGATTATGTTATACTCAAAGGACCCAAAGGGCTACACACCAGAGTATGTGAATTTCATGATAATGAGCATGACTTGGGAGCAGGTGCTCAGGACCACCAATGAGTGGCACCCACAGGCGGAACAGGAGAGTCAACAGTCCACAGGCACAGCTTTGGCCAGTTGAGGACATCTTCGCCAAGGATATCAAACCAGCTGAGTAAGGAGGAGAAAAGATAACACTACCAGCAAGAGGAAGCACAGTGAGCAAAGACACAGGAACCAGCTATGCCAGGCCTGTTTGGGAAACTGCCCTGCCTTTTGGCCAAGCAGAGGCTTATTCACCTACATAAACACTTCAATGGTGTTTCGTCCATGAGAGGCCCTGTTTTCTTCTTAGAGGGGAAATCCTCCCATGAGGATAAGCATGTGGGCATTGCTGCCTCTTTCTTTCAAAATGGAAACCTCTTGTTAGGTTATGGTCTTGTGAAGTCAAATAAAAAGTGCCACGTTCTGCTGCAATTAAAAAACACGCTTAAGCTGCAGCTCAGAAATCTGAGTTACTGGCCTTGGTTGTGAGTCAACCAGTAGTCCTGATAAAAATAAAGCACCTATTCTCCTTCAAGTGGAACCCAAGAGAATAATATAAGAGTCATTAAATAATGTGCTAAATATCACATACCATCCATAGGAGCCTAAGAAGAAACCCATCTAATAAAAAACCCTCAATTCTGCAAGAATATTTGGAGGCCTACTGTGTGCTCAGTTCTGTTCTGGGGGTACAGAGGAAGATTATTACATGTAAATAATGAGACACTCCTCAAGGAAGTACAATATGACTGAGAGGGGATTCTTACAAAGGAAACAGTTCTAAGGAGAGTGCCAAGGCAATACATGAAAAAGGTCATGATGTATGATGTGTGCCATGGGGCTGTGGGAAGGCAGTACTGGATGGAGTGATCAAAGATCAGTGACAAAGATCCTTCAGAAGAGAAAGGTTTCTTGTTTTCTAATCATGCATTTCACAATTAAGAGTCCTATATGTTGCTCTTTGCTGTAATATCCTAGTCCAATGTATCTCCAAGAATCCTCCAAGATAAATGGATTCCTTCCTTTCTGATGATTCAGACTCTTGGCCATAGCTACTCGCATTTTCTTCCCCTTACCGTCTCCAGTGCAGACCCAGAGCTAAATGACTTGTACAAACTTCATCACTCTTAAAGCTCTCAGCTCGCTTCAAAAAAGGGCCTAAGCCGTACGTAATTCAAAAGCATCTTCCACTTTGCCCTCACTTTAGTCAGCCCAAATAGTATGTTTTTTAGGAGGCCATATGCTTTGGTGTGAGAACACCCTGGCTTTGAATCTGGTTTGGAAGCTTCTTATCTACGTGACTATAGATAAGCTACATCTCACAGTTCCATTTTCCTCATCTGAAAAGTGGGGCAATCATACCTCAGAGGGCCGTGGTGATCATTCCTTATGATTTGGAGTGTGAAGTGCTTAGCACAGTGGCTGGCATACACTGAGTGCTGAAAACACAGTGGATCACCAATGTTCACCATCTCCTCTTACCTTTCAAGGTAGGGACTGGGGTTTTATTTCCAGCCCCTCACATAGAGCCTGGCACAGAGTAGTGGCTGATAAATACCTGATGAATGAGTAAAAGAGTGGGTACATGGATTACATTGAGAGATGAAGTCCTATATTTTTTTTCTATTTTCGGCCATAGGAGATTTAAAGTTTATATTTTAATCCTCCAAATCTTATTCTTACTTGAGACTTACCATGTTCTTTAACCAGTGTTTTTAGTTTTACTTTTAAGTAATCACAAAGCAGTAACAGTAATAACATGTAAGTTGAATTGCTCTATGAGAGCTGCTATCTTATACCACTAGATGGCGTCTACCAATAATAACGCTGAAAAGCACCACACATCCTGGGCTAGGTCATCACTCTCAAGAAATTAATACAGAAAAGGCATTTATATATGTGTACGTGTATATATATTAATGCGGAAAAGGCATATATATTTATATATATGAACATACACGTATACATACACACGTATATATTTACCTTTTACATATGATTTCTTTTTAATATTGGTTATGAATCTAGAGCTGCCCAGAGTTTGGCAAACACTTGCTTTCCTAATTTTAATATTCTCCTGTAGCAACGTTTTTAGTTGTTAATTAAACTCTAAG